CAAGGGAAAGCGTCCAGCCCAGCTCTGCAACGGCTTCTGAGGGCCCACGAGGAGGTACGCGAAGGAAGAGTGAGGGAGCGGCAGCCAAGAGCTCCCCGGCACCGGGTGGAGCAAAGGCTTCCGATGCCGTGAGCAAAGCCCAAGGCAAAGCGAGGGGTCTGCCTGCGCCCCTCCCCCCTGAAAAAGTGGCCGAGGTCGAGCGGGAAACGCGGGGCCAGTGGAGAAACCCCGAATGGCACAAGTGGCGCGAAAACCGCATCACGGCCTCCATCGCTCCCAAGATCTCCAACAGCAAGTTTGTCAACGGCCGGACCACGGAAGTGCCTCAGTCGTACCTGAAGGCTGTGGTGGGATCGGGCTCTGGGGTACAGAGCCCGGCCATGTCTTGGGGGGTCCGCAACGAGAAGAAGGCAGTGCAAGCTTACGAAGCCCTCAAGTCCAGCACGGCAAAGAAGCCGGTGAAGGTGAAAGATTGCGGCCTCTTTGTCGACAAAGACAAGCCCTGGCTGGCTGCCAGCCCCGATGGCATTGTCCAAGAAGCGGAGACCGGCAAGGATCTGGGTCTCTTGGAGGTGAAGTGTCCCTATAAACACAGAAACAAGACGGTGTCCGAAGCCTGCAAAGATAAAACGTTCTGCCTGGAAAAGGAGGGCGGTTCCTACTCGTTGAAGAAAGATCATCCCTATTATACCCAAGTTCAGTGTCAGATGAAAGTCTCCGGTCTGGGCAAAGCGGATTTTGTCGTTCACACCAAGAAAGAAACTGCAATCGCCCCGGTAGATTTTGACCCGGATTTCTGGAAGCAAACGGTCCCCAAGCTGCAGAAATTCTACACAGATGCAGTGCTCCCTTATCTGGAGGAGGAGAAACGCTCTGCTGCCTGGGCCAATGAAGAGTGAAGCTGTGGGAAGTTTCTGATTTTCTCCTTTTTTGTTTTTCCCTCCTTTTTCTTCAGAGATGCGCCTTCAACCTGTTTACCTGTTCTCCTTTATCCTGCCTTCTCCCAAGAGGACAGAATCAGCTGCAGCTTTTGTGTCCGAAGGCAAGCTTTGTAAATTCTGTAAAGCAGCCTACAGAGAGGTGTTTTCCCAATCTGGGCAATTTTCAAGTATGCAGACTTCAACTCCCAGAATTCCTCAGCTAGTCTAGGTGGCTAGAGAATTCTGGGAGTTGAAGTCCAAACCTCTTAAAAGTCATCAAGATTGAGAAACACTGGCCTAGACTGGTGTGTAGCCTGCCTCTCTCTGTGTGCCTGTCAGCTAGCAATTTGAAACATCTGCATTCCTCCTGGGAATGTGCAAAGTGCCTTCAGCCGGCGATCAAACCAGACCAACGTCTAGAGCAGCCCCAATTCTTCTCCTTGTTTATTCTCTTTTTTTCTGTCCAGGCAGTAGGACCACATTGTTGTTAAAAAAAACAACACCCTTGCTGCTTTCACAATTCCAGATCTATTTCCAGCTTTCTTCCATGCTAGACACATTCTGAAATGAAAAATGATTTTTCCTTGAGATGCGGTAACTCAACCAGAAACGCTAAAAGGACCTGGGACATGATATGCTTACAACGGAATGATGTTTCAATTCACGGCAGAGCTAAATTGTCCTCATCTTAACGTGTTGCCAGTATTTTCTGCAACCTGTGTTGGGCAACAAAGGCCCAGTGTGATAACCAAGAAGGCGACAAGTTGCGTGGAAGAAGATGGGTGACCCGGTTAATTAAAGAGCTGCAGGTTTTGAGCGTGGATCAAAACCCAATGAAACCCTTCCATTTCCTGCTGTAAAAATGGTGCGTGCTGCTATATACCCAGAATGATGTTATCCAGTGGTAAAAGAGGGAAAAAAAGTGAGATTATTGTTTAGGCCAGGGGATCGACATGCTGACCCGTTCTATTTCAGCACAGGTGAAAAGTGCATCTTTGCTTAGAAAGTTTAGAAAAAGAAATTGTAATTTTAAAAAAAAGTAATTTTGAGGGAATTGCAACTGAGTTAGTTTTTGAAAAGAAGTGAAGTTGAAAAAATTGTAATTAAAAATGTGATTGGGGGGGGATTGCAATTGACTTTTTTTTTTTTTTTTAAAAGAAGTCTTGTTTGTGGTATTTTTCTTTGGGACACAGTAAAAAGCAATTCCTTCTGTTTGTCACCTGGCTTTAGTTATGAAAATAAAAATAAATCTATGCTGGATGTTGCCCTGTGCTCTTTAATGCAACCAGAAACAGGATTGAGAAAATGGGGATGTAAATGCCTCATTTGTTCTGCTTAGTTTTTATTACCTATGGCTAAGAGTATTCTAATATCTATTTGTTAAGGCAGGGGATTTGGTGCCTTTCTGCTCAAAGAGAGCACATGGGATGACTGGAAGAGAAGCTTTAAATGCAGGAAACTCTTGCAGAAAGAAAAATCAGCTGATTTGGAAAAGGTGCCAACAGTATTTGCCGTCTGTATTTTAACCTTAAGGCTGAACTGTTGAGCCTGAGATTCCAAACCTGTCTTTAAAGCTCAACTATTAATGGGATTATGAATGTTAACGTGCCAGAGGAGGAAACAAACCCAAGGATTACAGTTTATCTAGGAAGATCAGCTCTTTAAGAGGCCATGTAGCATCCTAATTTCCAACTTTACTTTCAGTTACACGACAGGCAGTCCTTACGACCGAGTCTAGCAGTTAAGACTCCTGAAGGATTGTAAAGCAGGTCACTCCTGTGACGGACCTGATTTTGTACCCTTTTCTTGTAGCAGTCATTAAGCAAGCCCATTGTTCACTGTGGGCCAGCTTTTGCTGGCAACTGAAAGTAAATGCTGGTTTCTGGCAAATATATATATCCCTGTGGGAAAGCCAGTAAGAGGAAACAAGAACTAATTGAAATATGAGAGTGGATGAGAAAGTATTATTACATTTAAACTTGGGGGGGGGGGGGGTAAATTGGACAAAATGAAAAATTAGAAGAGCCTAGTGCAGGGGTAGGTAACCTTGGCTCTTTTATGACTCATGGACTTCAACTCCCAGAATTCCTGAGCCAGCATGGCTCAGCTTGGAAACCTCTCCCTTTTCCCTCAGCATGGCTGGCTCAGGAATTCTGGGAGTTGAAGTCCACGAGTCATGAAGGGGCCATAGTTCCCCCATGCTGGCTCAGGAATTCTGGGAGTTGAAGTCCAAGAGTCAGGAAGGGGCCATAGTTCCCCCATGCTGGCTCAGGAATTCTGGGAGTTGAAGTCCACGAGTCAGGAAGGGGCCATACTTCCCCATGCTGGCTCAGGAATTCTGGGAGTTGAAGTCCACGAGTCAGGAAGGGGCCATAGTTCCCCCATGCTGGCTCAGGAATTCTGGGAGTTGAAGTCCACGAGTCATAAAAGAGCCAAGGTTGCCTACCCCTGGGCCTAGTGGTTTGATTTGCATTGAAATGAAGCACCAAGAGCTGCTTAAAAGTATTTTAATCTATACGTATCACTCAGTATATACCCAGTATACAGCATGTACTGTGCTACCTTACATTTTTATAGAGACTAACTGTAAAAATGTAAACACTCAAGGGGAGCAGAGGTACTGATGGGATCGTGTTAGGTCTGGATTTTTTTTTTTGCTTTTAGCTGTGACCAGGTGCCTATTCCAAACTGGGCAAAAACCTACATTATAAAGACTACTGCGTATTCTGTGGGCCGTCAGAACAGAGCTTTTAGATCGACGACGCGTGGCTGAAGGATGAGATGAAATCAAGGCACATGGGTCAAACCAGAAGAGGCTCAGTGGAGCAGGGAGAGCGACAATCCTCTCCAAACGAGCATTTGCTTGCTGGCACAATTTCCCCAGGAACACCCAGTAGGTTTGCATAGTACACAGATCTTCTCTTTTTTAAAAAAATAAAAAATGACCCCCAGATTGCTCTTCCAAGAACAGCCTGGAGACAAGCAGGACCCAATCTGCTTCTGAGGTGCCTCACGACCCATCTTACCTTGGGGAAGAAGTTCTCTCCCCTTTTAGCTCCCAAGAAGGCTCTACAGCAGGGGTCCTCAACCGTGGCAACCTTAAGACTTGTGGACTTCAACTCCCAGAATTCCTCAGCCAGCAAAGCTGGCTGAGGAATTCTGGGAGTTGAAGTCCACAAGTCTTAAGGTTGCCAAGGTTGAGGACCCCTGCTCTATAGCTACCGTACTACCATCGCTGTCCCCGGTTTGCGATCCTCCCACAGTCCCACATTCCCTTCAAACAAGACAGTAGTGCAACTGGAAGTCTAGGCTAGGTCAGTGAGTCGAGTAGATAATAGCTACTGTATATATTTTCTAAGCCTCTGCATACCAAGTATGTACAGTTGGGGAATATTATCACCCCTTTCCTGGTCCAATGGTGGCATCTTGCTCAAATGCTGAAAGGATGGGAAGCTCCGATGCCAGCTGTCCTGGGGACAGAACAGCGCGCTCGCTAAACGGACCGCCAAAGAGCCCTCTCTTAAGCTGTGAGTGTGAGTGTGCACAAAGGGGAAGGGACTGGCCCCCTTGGAAGTGTGCTTTTGGGAAAGGAGCTGACCCACCGTTCTAAGGGGCAAAGGAACAACTACAAAATTGGGGTGCGTAATCTTGACCCAGTTAAAAGTCCGAGCAGCTAGCGTACCACAGAAAAACTCTGCTTGGGCCCCACTCCCTTTTAGGCTGCTGAGAAAAGGCACCACTGCGCAAGGGCAGAGACACAGAGAGAGACTACTGGCTGACTTAGTGCATTGCCTGAAGCAATCCCCTCCCCTCCCCAACAGTCGCTTGTGTCTGCCAGGCATTTGTGCATTTGCTGCTCTAGCATAACCCTGAGATCTCAACAGCTCCTCTGTGCCACCTCTCTTCCCCCGTTTCAACTTTTGGAATAAGACACACAGGGTGTCAAAACGTTTTGGAAATTTCCAGGGCTGCCTCTGGTCTTCTCCTCCCTGGGGGGGCAGTTCTTGCGTTTTGATTGTCTCGGCAGCCGAAAATCCAACTGAAGCTTTGAGGGCGGCCCTTCGTCCCTCCCGGCGACAGTCAATCGCAGAAGCGCTTGCGGGGCACGGTCCGGGCTCTGTTGGACCGGCGAATCTCTTGTTTCGCGTCGCGGCAGCGCTGGCAGATAAAGACATCGGGCACGTTGGACTTGCGGATCTTGGCGCAGGAGAGGTGGATCCAAGTGGCGCACTCGTTGCATTCGATCATGGGCCGCCCGGCAAAGGGCTTCAAGCAGAAGCAGGTAATTAGGTCCCAAGCGTCGTCTTCTGCGTAACGGGGAGAAAAGGGATGTTTTATGGACAGCACCCTTGCTTGTTTTTAAGAAGAAACTGGACAGCCATTTGTCTGAAATGGTATAGGGCAGGGGTAGGCAACCTCGGCTCTTTTATGACTCATGGACTTCAACTCCCAGATTCTGGGAGTTGAAGTCCATGAGTCATAAAAGAGCCGAGGTTGCCTACCCCTGGTATAGGGTTTCCTGCCTGAGCAGGAGGTTGGACTAGATGACCTCCGAGGTCCCTTCCAACTTTATCATCATCATCATCATCATCATCATTATTATTAGTATTATTAGTATTATTATTATTATTAATATTGTGGTTAGTAAGGTTATTTTTCCCCCCCATAGGCTCCTTAGAGATGCCTGTAAAATTAGCCTTTTTAACTTCCTTTTGCTTCCAACCCCACTTCTTTTATGCAAAAAGCTTTAAATGACATGCCTCTTGGGATTGAATGAGCCTCTACGGCAGTGTTTCTCAACCATGGGCCGTTTTAGGACATTGTGGTCCTAAGTTCCCAGAATTCCCCAGCCAGCTCAGCATTCTGGGAGTTGAATCCCACAGGGCTTAAAGTTGCCAGACTGAGAATTGTGACTCTCTGGGCCAGGGGTAGGCAACCTTGGCTCTTTTATGACTCATGGACTTCAACTCCCAGAATTCCTGAGCCAGCATGGCTTAGATTGAAAACCTCTCCCTTTCCCCTCAGCATGGCTGGCTCAGGAATTCTGGGAGTTGAAGTCCGTGAGTCATAAAAGAGCCAGGGTTGCCTACCCCTGGCTCTGGGCTTATTAAAACATCCAACTGAAATGCATTTGCTCCCCCCTGCTGGCAGTTGGCAATACTACCCTTAACTCACCATCTGTTTTAGTGTCTGAGGCTGCAGTAAACTCCTTAGGCAGATCTGCAAGAGGGAAGAGAGAAAAATGTCAGAAAAGTGAGTGACCACAGTATGTTGCTCACTGCCTGGATTTGCACAGCATCCTTCAACCTAAAGAGTAGGCCATGTAAAACTGATTAAAGCAGCCACAATACCTTTAATTGATGAGGTTAAGGAGC